ACTATTGCAGCCGCAAAAGCCCCTATCTCCGTGTACTGGGTCACGTGCCTGATCAGCCAATAAAAACAAAGGACGCATATAATTGTTCGCTGTCCACACATTGTGTATATGAGGTTGCATATATTTAGGAGCGTAGCTCGCGTCGCAATAAATAATAATATAAGCTCCTAGATTTATTTTAGCGCGAGTACATTTGGATTCTTTAAATATTTTGTTGACATTTAATATGATTAAATACATAAAATTTTATGTGTTCTGCAGCTCCGCAGCTCTTATGGTAAAACCGCCACTGATTATTACCAAAGGTAGTATTGATAACTGCATACTCAATATAGACGAGATTTGACTTGAGAACTTTTCTGATTAAAAAAAAATTAAAAGAACTTTATTAATAAACATCTTTTTACGGAATCATGTATCATCTGTAAATTTGTAGTGTTTTAAACAAAAATGAAATAAGTATGAATCAAATTCATTGTTATTTCATTATTTTTTTTTCGAATTCGAAATTCACTCATTTAAATTAGTGAACCAAGTTTTTGATAATAAATCATCAATATCAAAAAAGATATATGGAACGAACTGATAGAACGAACTCTTCAATTGAAGGTTTTCTGATAAGAACTTATCTTGCTAAAATTTCCCTTTATCTTAAAAACATCTAAGATTACATTGAATGCTTGAACGAATTAGTAAATTTAGAAAAGATGAAATGCTGGCTAAAATTCCAATAAATCATCATAGTAATAGGTATTTTAATTTAACTCAACATGTTTTTTTGTTTTCTGTACAAAATAAAAAATAACGCGGTATAAAGTTATTTATGATTGACATTATGTTGGTGTTGAATTTTTATTAACTCAAGATTTTAACAAAGAAATGAGTTTACACTCAAAGAAATGGGCTTATCTCTAGAATAATCTGTATAGCGCATATTAAAACTTTGTTAACAAATATACAACTTTCATTTAAAAAACACTCTTCTCCATACGCATTATTCAATAAGTTTAACTGGAAAGCGCTTAATACACCTTATGCTTTTATGAAATATTTATATAAATATTATAATGAGTTATATGCTTTATGTTCTATTTGTATAGTAGAGAAGCTTTGTTGTAACCGAATTTGTATAAAACAGCTATATTAACGGAATTATTCGTTTTCATAATGATTAAGTACTTTTCCGTTTTTAATATGTAAAACGTATTTTATAATCGGTTATGATCGTAAAATTTCACTGTGCATTGACTTTTACGCTTCTTCTAGTTGGATGAGAAGAGATAGTTAGACGCATGTTTTGTAGAAAACCGTGTTCTGTGAAGTAGAAAGTTATGTAAGTATCTAATTGCTTTATAGATTATTTTGTTTTTTCATATTTAAATCATGTCGAAATCTTAAAAGTTATTATCTTGTGTGTACCTATATGATTGGGGAACAGAAGGCTAACGGTGGCAAAGATGGTCCAATATTCACGTGTTTATCTGTCACATATACTGTACAATGTTCTTATAATAGCATTTAGAATTCTAATAAAGAATAAAGTGCATCAACATAATTTTTCGTTATACCAATATGACACACATAGTTTAGTAAACTAACTCAAAAGTTTTCCAGTGTTGAGTCAACGAATAGTGTTATTTTAACACAATTAGGTTTGATCGGAATTTAACAAGTAATTGTGTTGATTTTAAGTAAAATTTACTCATTTCTTTACAGTGTATGTATTTGATATTGGTTTGAACTACTTACTTACTTGTAGAAAGAAGAAACTAACTACGAACGACTGGCTCACCGATTTTCTGACACTTACTGACTTTATATACGCATAATGTGCGTTTATCTATAATATTTATCATGACGTCTAGTATTCTGATTATTTGATAAATAGGAAATTTTGCATTTTATGCATTCCAATATTAAAATCCCACGTATGTAATTAAAAGATAATTCTCGTGTAAGTGTATCATGACTTGTCTATGTATCCATAAACTATTATTTATTTAAAATATAGGTACATTATTACGATGCAGTGAAGAGGTTTTTGAAGATACTTACAATCTCTAAAATAAATGATAATATGTAACGTAGGTATGAGTGCACTAGAAAACACCTGGGAGATTAGTAAAACATTTTGTTTGTAGGAAATATGATCACAGTTAAAATAAATTTATTCAAAAGAAAAATGTTAACGATGTTTAAATAATAGTGCTTCTGCCCTACTGGACAGTTATTTAATGAATATTCAACATACTTTTTGTTTTTGTGAGTATTTTAGCGGAATTAGAACCTAACATTCCTGCGATAAGTTTCTAAACCATCTCACCGCAATTCAAACAAGGTACCAAAAATGGTGGCGGGAAACTCCTGGACAGAAGCAAGTCAAGAAGTTTTTAAAAGGACTATGGAAACTCGAAGGTTAGTAAGCATAACAGTAAGACTGCTAACTGGATATTGTAGACCCAGGAAACATCTGAATGATATTGACCTGATGGTAAACAACCAGTGTAGGTACTAGTAAGAAGAAAAGAAAGGAAAAGATAAATCTTGCATTGTGCTGCGAAGGTCTAGCAAAGCAGAACATATTACTACATACATACTTTTTGTTTTTATGACTATTTTAGAACGTAACTTCCCTGCGATAAGCTTCTAAAACATCTCGTTCCATTTCAAAGAAGGTACCAAAAATGGTGGAGAAAAAATCCTGAACAGAAGCAAGTCAAGATGTTTTTAAAGGACTATCCAGACTCGAAGGTCAATAAGGATAATAGTACCTGATGGCAGACAACCAGTGTAGGTACCACTAAGAGGAACATAGAAGCGCATTCTTGTCCATTGTTCCGGAGAGAAAAGCTGGAGGATGGTCACTGTAGATAGATTTATAGTTTCGATCTAAATTTACCATTTTCTTATTGTCAAAGAATTCCAATATATACTCGTACGTTAAATGTTAAATAAACTTATTTTTACATAATGTGTTTTACGTAGTGTGTGTAGGAGAATTGTTTCGTACATTTAAGTATCATGTCACAAGTAATTGAGATAAATCTTAGGTCACGAAGTACCAAAACAGATCGATGTACCGGATATAAATACTTCACATAGGGACTCAAAAATTAAACCTTTCTTACTGTTGCAGATCTGTTTAAAACAGGCGAAAAGATTACCTATGATTACGATTACTTTCGTTAATACGATAAGTATTAACTCTTTGCAGCTGTGTTTTGTTAAGATCCCTATCTTCCCCTGGGTGGTAGGGGGGAGGGGGGAGAATTGAAAGACGAGGACTTAAAAGAGATTATTTTGTCCATTATTACTGTATTACTATTATTATTATGATCCATCATGTTGTAACATCCATTGTTTATACAACATGAATGTCACAGTTTTTTAGATATAATAACATTCCTTTATCACAACCAACAGCTTTGTGTAATCTAAATACCGATGTTAACTTTGTTGTTAACATGTTTAATTAATTTCTATCTATATAGTGTTGTATTGTTGATTATATTGTGTCGTACTTCATTCTACAACGTTGTTATGATGTATTTATATACTACTAACATTTGTATACATTTTTGGATACACATTGTGAATAGCAGAGTATAAAACTGTATCTAATTATATTACCAATTCTTATGTGTATAAATTAACTGTATCACCTTTATGTATTGTTATTATTTAAACAAATTGTAATAAAAACTTCGCCATGCAAATATTCAAAATTAAACATATTTCTTCTTCTAAAAGCATTTAGTAAACATTTAAAATTGTTACATAACCCTAAACACTTGCAACTATGATATTCGAAAACAAGTCGAAACTACTTAGATCAAATTAGAGTAATATCCACTAATAATAATATAATATATAATATATATAATATATAATATCCATAGCGATTAATTTTTTATTTAATAAAACTCACAATCAGTGTGAGACAACCACGTGCTAACCGAAACATTTCCTATTTTTTATCTTTCTTATTTTAGCGTGACCGGAGAACATTGCTTATGTCTTATTCGATTCGACATTGTTTTTGTCTTATTCGATAGTCCAATTTTAATTGAATTCATCTACTAAGAATCTCAGAATTAGAAGCTAACTTTCCTGTGAAAAGCTGCTAAAACATTTCGGTGCATATATAAGACTAGAGACAATACCAAAAATAATATCAAAGAACTCCTGGACAAAGAGTTCCTTGATAGTCCAAGATGTGGAAAATCGAAGATCAATAAGGATAGCTATATTATTATGAACAAGACATTGTAGACACAGGAAACTTCTGAATAATACAGACCTGTCAGAAGACAACAGTGATTGACATAATCTTAAGGTAACACAATATTAGCACCATCTACAACATCTAACAAAACTAGTGACGGCCATTTCCTAGACCAAGTTATAAGAACGATCCTGGCGTATAGGGCATCACGTATGTGGAAAAATATACATTGGACAAACGGGAAGTCAAGTCAGTATAAGTTTAAAGGAGCACAAGTGTCATTTGAAGAATAACAACCTAGAAAAATCAGCAGTCTAGGTCTAACTAATACTATAGTTCCATTGAAAAAGAAAGAAGATTTTGGCCAAGGGTGTACTGGGAGGCAATAGATTTCCAGCAACATAAAGAGCCCATAGACTGTAGTGCTGGGGCATACAGTCCTCTTGGTTATATATATATATTAATGAAATGGAAAAGATACGTTGTCTATTCTTCAATAGCAAAGCAAAGAGGATATTTCTCTTACATTCTTACTTATTTCAGGCAATGTGCCATGATTTGTGAAAGGTTATGAAAAAAGTTGTACAAATGTTTATGCTTTAAATTATATATTTGTAGACGACATTAAAATTAGAAGATAACTTCTATCTCCTTACAATTTCGGCAATCCTCCGTAAACTTCAATCATTCGATTACGTTCGTCTTCACGATTCATCTTGAAGAATCCATCTTCGCCCCAATCAGTGTTAAAGGAGTTAGCTGCTAGCCAGTAAGGAATGCCGTTTTCCTCACCCCAGCCTATTAGTTTGATGGCATGTCCTCCTGCATAGAATCCATCTGTCGGCTGATACACACCTGGAGTAAAATAGCAATTATAACAATAAATATAATGCGTGCTGTACATTAGAACCAAAAAATGTCAAGAAACAACTAGCTATATTTGAATGTTACAGTCTTGGTATTAGTTCTTAATTAGTATCGTTTTTAAAATATCGTTTTTGTAGAATTAAATTGATTTAAACTGATATCAAAATAATATTTCAAAATTTTGATACTCTATACGAGCCTGTATTGCTGATTTCCCCCATACGAATATGCCCTACAAATGGATCAAGATAAAGAGTAGTACAGAAAAGCAACCACTAACCGCTAATAATGTCAGCGATGACATGTCTCACCTGCGTATGAGGCTATTCTTTCCAAGCATGCGCATTACGAATAAGACGGCTAATGTTAAATTTTTACTTTATTTAAATATTAATAGGAATATATATTCTTTTATGTCATTTTTTGTAAGTTCTAAGCACAATAGTGTATCTATTTTACAAAACACGTGTTTGTTGATCTTAAATACTTCCAAATCCTTGTAAAAATAAATTAATTTGAAGTTCATTTTATAGTAGGTATCTATGTAAAAAGTACAGAAGGGTCAGATTCGGTCTGTACAGGGTGGTTGATTTTCGATAGTTTTATAGGGTACAGCCAAAACGGTGATAGATACAAAAAATCTGATATCGATGTCCCGTCCTCTTTTTTTGAGTTTACTTCGCTGGTCCCAAAAGATCTTGGCTAACTTGATTAGTTTTAGATATACAGGGTTTTTTTGAAAAATGGCCCATTTACATTAACCTCTCTATCTCCGTTGTCATTCAATTTACAAGAAAAAAGTGTGCACATTATTTGTTCCATTTTTTATTAGGAAGCCATTGGCGTACTCAGATTTTTTACAAATCGCACAGTTTCTCCGATATTGCATAAACATAGGTTTTTTTAAATAGAACACCCTGTATTTGGCCATCCCGTTGAATAGCATTTTTTTTTACCTTTTCAGCTATATATAATAATAGATACTTTTTATTTGCCTAAATGAAGAAAAATGCAAAAATGTATAGATATAGATATTTTTTCAGTTGGCCATGTTATTTATTGTTATATTTAGTATTGGTCTCTTCGTTTTCTATTATTATTTTTATGTTAAGCACCTAACTTAGACTAAAAGATTAAAAAAAAAATAAATTAGATTATCCATTTATCTTTACTTAATAGGTTTAATTATAGGTACACTTATAACTATTATCTAAACATAAACTAAACAAAAATAACAACTATAAAATGAGAGAAACAACAATAAAACAAAAATGACATAACAAAGTCACAGCAAGTGCTCGAATTGTCGGCCATTTTCGTTGATACATAACTGACAACGTTTGGCAATGGAACGGGTCGCATTGTAAATGTGAATATTTGACACCCGCTGAATATAGTTTTCAAAATGTTCCCTTAGCTCCTCGACATTATTAGCTCTATACTTATAAATTTTGTCTTTAACATCCCCCCAAAAATAAAAGTCTATAGGGGTTAGGTCTGGTGACCTAGGCGGCCACCTGTTTGGTCCGTACGTACCGATCCAATTGTCCCCGAAATTATGATTTAATAATTCTCTAACTATGTGGGAATTATGTGGAGGCGCACCATCATGCTGAAAGAACATATTATATCGTTGAGCTAGTGACATATCGTCCAGCAGTTCAATAATATTTTCTTGTAAAATTCTCACATATCTCTGAGCGTTAAGGTTTTCATCGTACATTTCGTAAGCTAACACTCTATTGTGGA